TATGATGTCATATTTATTTTAATATTTAACTATTTATTTGTTAATTTCCAATTTAACTTTTTAGATGTAATCAATTTATTTCGTTAGCGGGAATCCATTATATATATATATTGTTTATTTATTATTTATACATAATTTCTATTTATTATTTCATGAATCCTCCTCATCTGGACTCTTTTATTCATTTTAAATGCATTTTTTTTTTGTTTATTATTATTACTACTACCATGTTATATATTTTTTTTATATTTTATATTTTACACGTCACAGTTTATTCTATGTTTGCACGGTGTATTGTACGTTTCTTATTTCATTAGGTTCCAAATGAGGAGGTTATACATTTTATTATTTTTTATTATTAATCCCTCGTTTCCAATTCAAACATTGCTTGTATTATTTTATTTAGATTTCAGCTATTACTTTCCATTTTATTTTAAATGGATGTTGGAGCCCCCCGCAGGGAAACCCCCTGAAGTAACCCCTTTAATAAAGTATTTCTAAACATCATCCGAGGCGTGTCCCATGTCTCAGCTGCCCCCCCCCTCTGGACCTCGGCCTGGGTTTTAAACACTTTTAGGGACACTTGGTTGACTTTATTTTAAGATATTTCCCCTCCCCGTGTGCCTACTAACCCGTGTGTATTTTATATTTGTTTTATATCTTACGTATTTTAACATTTGTGTTGATTTTTATTACCGGCACTTATTTTACAAAGCACTTTTATGTATTTATTTATCTTTTATTTATTCACACTAATTTTACCTGCATGCCGATTTCAAACAAAGTCAACCTCTGTACTTTTAGCCAGATGTTTTTAACCCACTTACCAGGTCTTTTACCAGATGTTGTGGGACACACCCCCGGACACCCCACCGGGGGAGACCCCTCGGGAGAGCAGGAGTACAGGTTTTAACCCCGCCGCATACGCTCTGTGCTGCAGCCGCTGCTCTCTTCTATCCCTTTTATTGCATTTTTTTTTAACTTCATTTAATTTTTTTAACACAGACCAAACAGACACACACTTTGAAGACTGGCAACCCACCTTGAAAAATAGAATCAAACTTTTTATTTCTGTATTCAACAAACAGTTTGAACTAGAACCCCTGAGTCTCTGGTGAAATAGTTTGTGATCTAAGTTCAATTTTATTTGCTATCCTGGCTCCATAAAGGATGGGACAAGCTCCCCATTGATATCAGGAAAGTAGAAAGTGTTCTGTTACAGACTGAACCCTGAACCCTAACCCTAACCCTAACCTGTTTCCACTGCACCTTTTCCCCTTCCTCACATAGCAATACAAATGTAAACTTTAGCTTGTCTCTTCTTGGTTGATTGAATTTAGTATAGGTCGTGTTGAATAAATACATTGGCTAAATGTAACAATCAATTGGATTTTTGTCGTCAAAGCCGTTCTACCGTTTTGAGCCAGTGTACTGATAAGGCGTCATGTTGAGGAGCATCCGGGTCCCACTCACATAAACCGTCGATAGGTTCGACTCTCAGAGACTCTAAAGGTGAGTTCCCTGACCGGGAATCGAACCCGGGCCGCGGCGGTGAGAGCGCCGAATCCTAACCACTAGACCACCAGGGACTGTGTTATAATCAACAGAAGAGACAATTTTGACTGAACACAGAATGCTCTTAAGATGAATCAACAGTGTGTGACTTTCTGTGTGTGAGAAACCAGAAGTCCCAACATATTTTATTATTTATTTATTTGTATATATATTACCTAAGGGGATTGCTTTTTAACTAATGTAGATTTTTAAATTAACCATTTAATTGTTTATTTATCAATTTATAATTTATTTATACTGTAGTATTTATCTGTATTATTTATTATTTATACATATTTTATTTATTATTTCATGAATCCTCCTCATCTGGACTCTTTTATGAATTTTAAATGCATGTTTTTTTGTTTATTATTATAATTACCATGTTATATATTTTTGTTATATTTTATATTTTACACGTCACAGTTTATTCTATGTTTGCACGGTGTATTGTACGTTTCTTATTTCATTAGGTTCCAAATGAGGAGGTTATACATTTTATTATTTTTTATATATTATTAATCCCTCGTTTCCTATTCAAACATTGTTTGNTGGAGATAGTTAAAAAAAAAAACATAAATAAGGTGAAAATAAGATATGAATGAAAATAAAAATTAAAAAAAGTTACATTTATTTGTTATTGGCTATAGGTTATTGGTTATGTTCACATCAGGGCCGTTTCTAGCTGTTTGGGGGCCCTAGTTTTTACAGTTTTTAACTACAATGGGGGGATTCCGAAGCCTTTAATTAAGATGATCTGTGGAGATGCATCAATCTGTTACACTTTAAGAGGAACCTGCACCACCTCTCTAGACCTCGGCCTGGGTTTTAAACACTTTTAGGGACACTTGGTTGACTTTATTTTAAGATATTTCCCCTCCCTGTGTGCCTACTAACCCGTGTGTATTTTATATTTTACATATTTGTTTTATATTATACATATTTTAACATTTTGGGTTGATGTGATTTTTATTACTAGCACTTATTTTTGAAAGCACTTATTTAATTACCTGCATGCCGATTTTAAACAAAGTCAATAGGTCCAGATGTTTTTTAACCACTTACCAGGTCTTTTACCAGATGCTGTGGGACGCAGCCTCAGACNTAGAATTTTTTATTTCAGTTGGTGTGTTCATAGGGATTTTCACCAAATTTTGGGTCGCCGGCTCCAGAATCTCTCACCAACGTCCGCTCTGTACCCTGTGCGGAGCACTACTACAAATTTTTATGAAATAATTCCCCAAATAATTCCCCAAATAACGCCCTCCGAGGTTGTAGGTAAATTTTTACCTTTCATTATTTTGATTTATATTTATTTTGTTATATTTGTTACAAATTTTATCCTTTACCACGCTAAATATTATATATTTTTTTTATATTTTATATATTAGAGGAGTAAAACTTTGGATTACTGTATTTCTTTTTTGTACGTTTATGTCACGTTTGATACTTTATTTGACACTGTACACTTTACAGACGTTTTCCGATTTTAGTATAAACGGAGGAAATTGTCCTATGCGGATTTGGTAACGAGCTGCGTCGACAAACCAAATCTTACACGTCTTAGTCAATTGGAATATGGTCAGATATTAATTTCTTCTTTCTGGTGGATAATAGTGTACGAAAAAGTCAACAACAAGTTTTTTGGTCCCAATCCCGATCCCAATCCAATTGCCTTCCCCGACGGGACCGACCTGATTGAAATACCCGGCGGTGCCGTTTTCAACACAGTACTCCGGGCGACCCAGACATGGGGTTCAGCAGTCGAGGTACACAAGCAGCTCACGCCTGCCCTACGATTCACCTCCGTCCCTGCACTTCGACAATCGCAGCCTCGGGAGGCGTCCGCCCCTTTGACACCTCGCCGTATTAACCAGTGCCGGCGTATTAACGCCGGCGAAAACGCGACCGTAACGTTGGTATGTGATTTTCTACTTAACGCGGTTGTAAAACGTGTATCTACTCCGGGTTTGCCGTTTGAGACGCACTAGACGCACACATCCCTCCCCCGCCCGGTCCAATCCCAAATCCAATGGTTGACTTTTATTTTAAGATTATTTCCCCCTCCTGTGTGCCTACTAACCCGTGTGTATTTTATATTTTACATGTTTGTTTTATTATACCAGTGGGACAGGTTTTAACCCCGCCGCATACGCTCTGTGCTGCAGCCGCTGCTCTCTTTTATCCCTTTTTTACCCTACGGAGCGCCGCACGTTCCACAAAACCCTAGCCCTAGCCCTAAGTATCCACTCTACACCCTAGGCCTAATTCCCATTACAAAACTTGAGATTAAAATGGGTTTGAAGATTTCTGTGGTCTGAGGCAGGATGCCAGAAGTAGGTTGGTATTTGGCATTGTGGCTTGAATGATGGTCTTTTTTAAAGCTTATTTCACCAAGAAGAAAAAGCTATAACTTCTGACACGTCAACAGGAAATAGGTCTAGAACGTTTTTACTTTATGAGTTTCCTCCTCATCAGCAGAATATTGAGACTATCTCTGGGACAATCTGCCACATCTCAGTCATTCTGCTCTGCGGCCAATTTTTTTGTAGTTTCTCTCTGTCTTTCACACGCTCTGTAGCACATCATCATGTCCTTTCTCTGTTTCCCTGCAGCTACAGACAAAGATGGAGTCAAATCTGACAAACATCATGGAGAACAACAACACAAATTGTGACTCCATTGATGACTTCCGTAACCAGGTTTACTCCACAGCTTACTCTCTCATCACCGTCTTAGGCTTGGTTGGGAATGGCTTGGCCCTGGTGGTGCTGATAAGAACATACCGCGAGAGCTCCCCCTTTCACGTCTACATGCTGAACCTGGGTGTGTCTGACCTGCTGTGTGTCATGACATTGCCATTGCGAGTGGTCTACTACGTCAAAAAGGGCCAGTGGAACTTTGGTGATTTCCTCTGCCGCATCAGCTCCTACGCCCTCTACGTCAACCTCTACTGCAGCATCTACTTCATGGCGGCCATGTCCTTCACACGCTTCCTGGCCATTGTGTTCCCTGTGCAGAACATGCGGCTGGTGACAGAGAACCGCTCCCGGCTGGTGTGTGTGTGTATCTGGGTCGTCATCTGTCTCTTATCCTCCCCCTTCCTGATGTCCGGTCAGTCAATGGACCACTTAACAAATAAAACCAAATGTTTTGAACCTCCAAAACCTGGAAATGTGCAGAAACTTGTCGTGCTGAACTATTTGTCTCTCGGGGTGGGCTTCATCCTGCCCTTCCTGGTCATACTGGTCTGCTACGCTGGCATTGTGCGCGCCCTGCTATACCGCAACCACACCGCCCGACGTCAGCGGGTCACGGACACCAAAGTCATCCGGATGATCGTCATTGTCCTGCTGACCTTCCTCATCAGCTTCATGCCCTACCATGTGCAGCGCACCATCCACCTGAACTCCCTGTTCAGGGAAAACGCCCCCTGCTCGGAGCAGATTGCCATGCAGAAGTCTGTTGTAGTGACACTAAGCCTGGCTGCTGCCAATTCGTGCTTCGATCCACTGCTTTACTTTTTTTCTGGAGAAGGTTTCCGCAGTCGCTTGTCCTCCCTGAGGCGGTCAATGAAGAGCAACAACCAGAACCGTATTGCCAGGATGAAGACCACCACTAACCCAGAGATTGTGGAGAACCACCAGCTAAAGGCCAGTTAAGTTACACTTGACAAAACCAGTATCATCAATCAAGAAGCTTAAGATATGATGAAATAGCTCAGGATAGTGTGTGCCCTCATTTACAACCAGGAAGTATTCGAGAGGAAACTAAAAAGGCACAGAGAAAGCTTTAACAATAAGGGCTAGTTTACTCATGAACAGAGTACTTAAACATTTCAGAAGAATCTCAGGATGTTGTTTTTCATTCAAGTTGATATTTATTATTCTAAAGAATGTATGTGTTCAATATTTGCATGATTATCATTGCAGTAATCAGTAGCAAGAAAAATACTCAATCTGTGGAATAAAAATATATAAATACACAGTGTACCAATGTATAAATGTATTGTACTGATGTCTTTTTACTTATTCGTGTACAGCACAGCATATTTTGTGCCAATGGTAATGTTGTAATGCCAATAACAATACTTTTTTTTACGATGTATGATTTTCCTTGCTTTTCATTACGACTTGTGTGATTGTGTTTTTGTGCTACTGATACTTTCTGAATATTTCCTGTAAATATGTTGATGAGGGTGAATTGTGATTTTCTGCACTCTGTACCTGGGAGTAGTTTAGCACTTTGTGAAGAACATTTATTTATGCCTTTAAAGCGATAGTTCACCCCAAAATCTAAAATCAGATGTTTCCTCTTACATGTAATGCTATTTATCAATCTAGTGTGTTTGATGTGAGTTTTTTGAGTGAGGAGATATTGCCTTTAACAACATCTTCCCCTTCTCTTAAATACTATATGGCATTCTGCTTGTGGTACTCAAAGGGCCAAAATAAGTATTATAAAAAACTTAAAGTAATGTACTTTTCAAGAAATCCTGACCTGGTTACTCAGGATAATCCAAAGACATTGTTCTGAGCGTTTATATATTTATATATATATATATTTTACAGTATTTCAAATGCGTTCTTTGCCAGTTTACTGTAAGCACAACAACCTAAAATTAAAACAATATAAATTGATATATATCAATTCAGGTAAAGGTGTTTTTTTCAATTTGCAGTGAATTGTCCGTTTAAGATGAGTTACAGTAAAGGAACCAACTGTCAAATGTTCCCCCCAAAAATCTAACTATACCTTTAAACAACTTCAATTGTACAGTCCTGTTGTTTTCACCCATGTTATGTATGATAAATATATCAATAAATCCTCCAATGCATGTCAGTTCACTATGCAATCCTCACTGTAATGTAAAGTTTATAGTGACTGCATAAAGAGTTAACAACTCTGTCCACTGGGTGTCGCTCCAACATAGCCTTTCTCTAAATGATTCAACACTGATCTGTTTCTCCATTGCTTTTTATTATTTGTCTCTATTTCTTTGAGATGAGAGAACAATGATCTGCAGCACTATAAGATGGGTTGTCTTGCATTAATTGAACAAACAAATTGAATTTGTGCTACAAGTCTTAAAGTTGCCTGGATAATATATATATATATATATATATATTTATTAACTAAAGCTATAAACATTACATTTATAAAAAAAAAAAGGGTAGGAGAATATGGTCGCCTGTCCATAACACTATAACATTCAGACATAAATGTAGCTTTCTGGTTATTTAGAAATACAAAACAACAGTGAAAGGCCCGACTACTGAGTCCGACCCTGGTGATTGGAACATAGAAGGCCACTGTATTACCGCTTCATAAACAGATAATATCAAGCACATGATGGGCTCCCTCCTACATCTGCACAAAAAGATGTTTGTTTCCGTCTACAGAGCAGGGCTATCTTAGAAATGGGAGTCTGTGGTTGCAGTGTGTGTGTACCTCACGGCGGAGATGTTAGCCATATTTGCCAGGAAGTAAGGAAAGTCCCTGCTCAATTCTTACTAATTTGTTTCTTAAAGAGGTTATGGATCACAGTGGACCCCATTGCACTGCAGGAAATCAGTAATATGTCTATTCTTTCACCTGTGCTCCAGTTTTACAACTCCTGAAGTGATTTGGCCCTAGCATTGATTAGTGTCTGGGAAAGCTTAAACATGAAGCTTGTTTGCCTTCAGGGGGAGCAGACAATGACCACCATATGAGCAACTTAGAGGAGTTCTTCAGATGAGCTGTTTTTATTCAACCTATTTCTCAGGCATTTAGATTTCCTAGATTGCAAATACCTTGAAAGGAACGAAACAGTTCTCATTTCAACACAAGGCAACTCAAAGGATAAAATACAACATTAAACCATTAATAAATAGTGCATCGGAAACACATTATAAAACGACATTTATACATTTAATATGTTTTCTTTTAAATGTTTAAATATATTTTTTAAATGTTCTATTGTAATAAATACAATCATGCTTTCCTTGAATGTGCATGAATTACATTTTTGTACTCAGGAGAGCAGCCCAACAATCTGTGAACAACACAAAATTATAAAGTCAAATTGATACTTCACAAATTTGGTGTAAGATAAGACTTCAGCTGGTTCCCCTTGAATCAAACCACCATCAATCATTGACATGTTTTAATAAATGTCCCCACATGTCCACCAGATAGAGGCTACCTGTGTCTGTCCGCTTTTTGGTGCTGGGAATGTTATGTCAAGCATTTAAAAAAATATATTTTTAACTCAATACATACCTGCTGCGGCAGAAAATGTGCTGATAAGGTTATTACGGTAATGTTAATGTTTACTTGCCGCTAGTTGTTTAAAATTGACATATTAAGCACATTTTCAGGTTTCATTTTTTGGGGTCCAATCAAATCAAAACCATTAATGTGAAAAAAATATGTATAACACACCAGGAAGGGAAAAAAACCCAAAAGCATAAATGGGAAGATTCTCTGTTTCTGTCTATAGCATACTATCACATGTTTCAGTATGTGTAAAGAATCTGTAAACCTGTCAGTTTAAGTTGAGTATTAATGGGTTAGTGTAACCTAAAATGTTATAGTTCACAGTGTCAGCAGGATTCAGTGACTGTTTGTTTACTTTCCTTTAGTCAGTACAGAGCTTTCTGTGTGTGTGTGTGTGTGTGTGTGTGTGTGTGTGTGTGTGTGTGTGTGTGTGTGTGTGTGTGTGTGTGTGTGTGTGTGTGTGTGTGTGTGTGTGTGTGTGTGTGTGTGTGTGTGTGTGTGTGTGTGTGTGTAAGTGTCTGGGGGGAGATGACATTTCCTGTATCACGTACCACCGCTTGTTTGATCTTCCCTCTTTCATCTTCTCAGCAAAGAAACCTGACATTACTGGGTCTCTCTCTACTCTCCTCTTGCTCCATTTTCAGTCTTAAATGTAGTTGACCATGTGTGTGTCCCCATGTGTTTGTGTAAGAGCTAAACAGCGGGAGAAATAAGTGGAGGGCCGTCCCTGGCCAACTGGAGGCCCCACGCAAAGTGATATGATGAGGCCCTCTGTTTCGCGAGTGTCGACGGGGAGTTAGGGTGCTAGTGGAGCCTCGCAGCGGCGATACCACACTTGTGAATTTTCTTAGTGTTGCCACTTTGGGAGTGTGCGATTATATATTATGTGTGTTATTAGAAACCGTATTATTTAATCTGATTCCATTTCTGGTTGCCTAACCTCATGACTACGGAGGCTCTTTGACATTCAAGGAAATTCAGGTGACTTCCTAGAAAATCTTCCTCCTAACCTTCGGAGTTTCTGAAAAATAACTCTACCATATACATTTCTAACCTTGATATTCCTTAACAATAGAATGGATTTGTAAACAGCTCCTCATTATTAAAGTAATTGCTCAGTGCACTTGGGCTTTTATATCAGTTGGACAAGATAAATACAAGGTAGCATCAACAGAGCAGAGAATTGTTCTGCATAGCTGAATATGTAGCCACAGCAGTGCTTAATTAGCAGTATATTTGGGAGGAAATGTGTGTTTGTCTTCACAAATCAAAGGTCCCAGGTAGAAACGTTCTCGCTCAAGCCATTTGACACACACCTGGCACACAAGAGGAGATTGTCCGTGTCAGACGCATTCTCACTCAGGGGTCAGAAGAGGGATGTTGCCTGGTTAGAGCGTGGACTAGGCCCTGATGTTCCTTAAATTGTTCTGACGGTTTCAGCGTCGGCCCTTACCAAGATAACTCCATGATTCCCTACGTCTCTCTGATAAGACATATGCATTCCCTTTTTTGGTGTAATTGGCGCTTTCGTGGAAAATGTACCCTAATATGTTTGTTTTATTCCATGGAAGCCTCATCTAAGCGCCCACTTGCTTGCTGTGAATTCTCTGCAGAATCAGCGTATTTTTCACAAAGTGGATCAATCGGACGTTACATGGACTTAGGGAGTTGGAAGGGTGACATTTGTTTGATGTTAGTACAACTGTTAGACATTTCAGCACATTTCAGGGCATCAGTGTGGCGGTTCAGAAATTGCCATCTTCCCAATGTCAGCAACCATCCACCTTTCTTTAATGTCCATCAGTATGACATTGAATAGCTGCCAGCTACAGTGGAGTTATTTTGGAATTGACACTGACCTCTAACCTCTATGTGGAAAAGGCTGAGAACAAAAGGAATTTATCTTCAGGCAACCATTTAGTATCATAGTATAATGGGGAGAAGTTGGGAACTGGTTGAATATTGACATAATTACAAACAGTAGGTTCGCCTTCATTAGGCCACTTTATCGAGTATAAACTTCAGGTAAAGAATTTCTAATCAGTTGTTGCTTGATGCACATTTCAAGGGCCTACGATGCTCAAAGATTAGGTGTCTAAAATATTTAACCATTTTATTTCCTTCCACAAAGAGAACTTTATCTTTTAACTAGATGTTCTAACATCTTTGACTGATTTTTGATACTGGTTTTTATCAGTAATCAGCATTAATAATCTGATAACAGTTTTATAGATTCTTATTTTAGTATGCCCATCTCTTTCTGGGTTTTTAGGGATGTATTCTCACTTAACACGATTAAAGGGAAATAATGGAACACATGATGACATGATGTTTTTGGATTAGTACTTCTAATTTTAGTAGATTATTGCAGTTGCTATGCATGACTGCAGTGTTTCATATTTGCTTATCCCTCTTTATTTTAATAATCCCTACAAATATAATTTAGAAAGGAAGGACATTAAGGCATTCGTGGTGAAAAACACCCCTGTTGGGCCGGCAACAATCTTCCCACCCAAAAATGATAATAATAACATTAAACTATTTATATGTTACCAGCTTGATTGAGAGCACTCACTGATAGTCTGAACTACACGCATTGCGGTGTGTGTTTCAGTATGTAGCAGACACACAGCTATCATGCTGTGAAAGGCTGTTGTCAGGGTATCTCTGCACTCAGAGCAGAATGAAAACACTATTTAGGTGACAAGGCTCTTCTCTGTTTCTTTATCTCTCTCCTTCTTTCTTTCCACTCTTCACTGTTTTACCCAGTATTCTACTCTTCCTTGTGTGCACTGTCAATCTCTTTTTACACCATGCCTGTCGTTCTTTGCTCATCTCTAGATCTCTCTGACTCCCTTTGTCTCGGGTGAATGTCATTTTGTCAGCGACTTGTCATTTTGCCTGGTGCATCCCTCTCAACTTCTTTCTTTCTGAACCCTGCTGAAAGACTAATGAGAGACTGCATGCAGAGAGATGGAAGGTTAAAACAGGAGAAGTAGTGGGAAGTTATAAACAGGGAAGCAAGGTGAGAATAAGCTGAAAGTTGAACAAAAAACCAAGCTGAAATTAGTAACATATTACCCAAAACATTAGAACGAATGGAGCTAGACTAACATACATAATCACTACCAAATGTTAGCATCATTAAAGTCGTAATCTACATAACATTCCCCTACAATATAAGTATACTATGTTTCCTGCAGAGGTTATTGTAGCAGCACAAAAATAAAAACTATGTGAGTGTGGGTGTAAATGGGTGATTGTTGGCATCTGTTGTAAAGCTTTTTGAGTTGTAAGCAGAGTAGAAAAACAACTGCAGTGTACAGTCGAAAGCTCGGATTGATTTACCAAGGTAAAAATGAAGACCATGGCATGTTGTAAAAACACATAACCCCTGCAGATTTGAACAGATACATAAAAAGTAGACTCACAAAAAATGAGTTAATCACTCCTAATGTTTTCTTTATTTGGCAGCAGAAAAAAAGCGTGAGGACACAACACTGACATGTTATCACCACTTAATAGTTGTAATTAGTTTTCTTTTTATTGCAACTAAAACCAACTCCACCAACTTCTGATAAGAAAATATCTGGTCCATTTGACTCTATGTTCAGCAGTAAGTTGTTAACTTTGTGTATTTGATTATAGACAGGTGGCATACATGTAGGTTTTAGGACCATTACACTGAAAACAGATGCCTACTGGCTGTGAAAGAACAATTCCTTTTACATACACATTTTATATTATAAAAACATAAACACTTCCTAGTCTTTCGAGTGATAAGGGACCAACTTAATCACAGGAATGAGGAATAAATCACCAATATTGGTTAGGCTTTTTCCAAACACCTTCCATTAAGCATAATTGGAAAGCGATCTTCTTTTTTATATCCAACCTATATATTACATTAAGTGTGTGTATTTGACAGGAAGTACAATAGCTGTAACCTGGTGCTTAGCTTCCTAATAGTATTCAATTGTATTGTTTATTGGCAGCCAAAATACTGATTTTCTCTGCATTGCTAAAGCCATAACATTGCAATTAAACCCATCTTACAAACACAGGCGTTGTCACCCAATAAGCATGTGTCCTTTTACTCACACTGCTGTTTCGTTCTCACCTTCGTAGCACACACACACACACACACACACACACACACACACACACACACACACACACACACAAAACAATTGAAACAATTTCCC